TAAGGTTCAGCTGTCATCAGTTAACCCCTCAGCCCCATTACCCCCTGTGTCAGCAGGCCTTGAACAGAGTCTTTCAGGACTTTCTATTAATTCACCCTCAACTACTGTCAGTAACGTTCTCAGTACAGGTTAGTATGGAGGTAACGAACTCCTGACATGTATGTGGTTTCTGATGTTCTTGCATTCACAGATATTTCTATCAATTTAATTGAAGGCAGAAGAGAGAATAAAATTTTCCGTTCCCCAAACTTTTCTCAACAACAAGGTCTAGGGTACTGCAGTTGTGCCCTACATGCTTGCAAAATAGTTGCAAACAACTTCTATCAGAAATAGGATGTCTATTATTTGGAATACTGTTTTTCTTTTTCAACATTTTATGGCTAAGGCAAATAGTAATTCTCCTGCAAGCAATTATGTATTTGTACTCCTTGAGGAAGGGAACTGAAGTGTTGTGTGCTTGAAATTAATGTTGTTTTCCTGTGTGCTTCACCAGGTGTTCCAACAGTTCCATTATTACCACCACAAGTCAGTCAGTCCCTTACCTCTGTGCCACCAGTTAACCCAGCAACTACATTACCAGGTGAGTAGCTAAAATTTCTTAGAACATTTCCGAAACAAAAATCTTGAGGGAGCAAGGGAAGAGAACTGTCTTTTCCTCTGCTTTTTGAGGGCGAGAGGGTATTACTTCATACAACTTACATTTTTCCAGTTAAAGATGTCTATACAGGTCCTACAATGGGTTGTAGGGTTTTTGTAGAGCACATGCACAGCATGTCTGTAGTACAGAGGACTGAGCTGGCAGCAAAGTTTATGATAATTTACCTTTTAGTAAATGCACAATAGATGCAGCATTCAGGATTTCTCAGGAAGGTACTAGCTTTGCTTTTTGCAACATTTCTTGAGTTGATATATTGTTACTTTCATCTATATGATATATTGATACTTCATAAGTTGTATGTTGCAAAATAGTTTTGCAAATAGCTTCATAGTTTACAGTTTGTTCTTTGCACGTGGACATCATGAGAGAAGAAAGATGTGAGAGTACGTCTTGCCTATTTCTGCATTCCTTTCACCCATAAAACATCCATTTTAGGAAACTCCTTTTTTAATACTCAGCTTGATCATTCTTCCTAGTATAAATAGAGAGTTACTGTATGTTGCAGTTACTGTTTCTGAATTATTTAGTAATTTAAACTGGTATAACAAAAGTAATAGTCTGTTTACAAAGCAGTGTGTGTTATTTCCTGATAGTAATGAATGTTTCAATTTCTAGTATTCCCAGATTATTCACAGTGGGTGAGATGAGGATCTGTGTACAGTGGCCCTGCTTTAAGACTTTTCTCCTCTCCATCCTTATTACCATAATATCAACAGTACTTACTTCAGAGTTAACTTTCTGTGAGCTAAACACAAAGTAGGAATAGAGCCCTTGTCCCAGAAATGTGGCTCTTCTAAGGCAGGAAACTGGCAGTGGAAGGATGTTCCACAGCAAACACAATGACGGAAGAGAGTGTGTTGTGTTCATATGTTTCTCTTCCATTTTCAGTCCTTCCTGGCTTTGAAAGTTACTTTATCTTGCCTTTTCTGTACATTTTTGCATTTAACTCTAGTTATGAACTGAGTAGAAAAGACTTAATAATAATCGGTACTAGAGATCAGAAATACTGTGTACTGTACTATGTACTTGTTATTATCCCTGCCATGCAAATTAGGAACGGAGGGCTTCTGGTACAGTGCCGTGGTGAAGTAATTACCTTTGTTAAAAGCTGAACTCATAATGCAAACCTACTAATTCCTTAAAATAAGATTTTGCTTTCTTAGGAGAATCTGAAAGGTTGGGATTATGTTTTTGCTAGTCTGGACTTCCTGCAATAGGTATCTGTTCTCACTGTGCAACTTAAAAGCTGAAACTCAGGTGATTGCATTTCTATATGTAAAAGTTATAATCAAGATGTAAAGCAATATAACATAACTTTATCTATAAGATCTCAGAAACAATTAGAAAAAAAAATAATTAAGTTTTCACCTGTAACTTTTCTACTCTTCTCTTAGGTCTGATGCCGTTACCAGCAGGGCTTCCCAACCTGACTGATCTGTCCAAACTTAATTTACCCGCACCACACATCGTTCCAGAAATCATACAGCCCGGTACGTGCTTCTGCAAACTGAAACACTCAGTTGAAACTGCTCTTTCCTTGGCGATCCTTGACGTTCTCATTTAGAGCCATCTGGTGGAGCTGACAAATTGAATGTTTGCCTGAGGTGGAAGTTGACAGTAATGCCCAGATTAGGTAGTCAAGGAGTATGTCTTTAGATAAACTAATTCTAAGCCTGTGTCTGTACTTAGTTGTTTAATTTTTTTCATCAGGTTTATATTATCTGATTCATGATCTCAAAAGAGATTGTGCCAAGAATGAAAGTATATAGTTTTATGGGTAGAAGAAAATATGAGGTGTTTCCTTGTATGCTGGATGAGGAGACAGAAGCACTCTGATTAAATGTGAAAAGTATGAACTAATACTAAATTTATGGTTTTGAATAAAACAAAAGTGCTGAAGATGCAAATGGACCAAGCAAACATTAACTGGAAGTTTACATGGAATAAGGTTTATAGAACAGTTTGGGTTGGAAGGGACCTTAAAGATCATCGAGTTCCAACCCTCACTGCCATGGGCAGGGACACCTCCCAGTAGACCAGGTCGCTCAAAGCCCCATCCAGCCTGGCCTTGAACACTTCCAGGGATGGGGCATCCACAGCTTCTCTGGGCAAGGTTCTTGTTAACTTCTTGGTTTTGGCAGTTTCAGTGAATGCCAGAAGAATCTAATAATCAGTATTAATGCATTAAATACCCAGTTCTCTGGAGAGGTAGAAGCAAACTTGAGTTTATTCTGATTCTTCAATTCTGAAATCTGAAAAGTATCAGGCTTGAAACTAGCCCACTGAGTCAATGCTGCATGTATATCATGCCCGCACTAAGTTCAAAAAGCTTCCTGCTTTCCAAGAGTAAATAGGAGATTAGAGAAGGCAAAAAAATTAAGCCAACAGGGAATGTCTGCAGATGAGTCTGTGTTGTACAGCAGCTCACTGCCTGGCTTTTTTTCTTCTTTTTTTTTTTTTTTTTTCTTTAGGTTTGCCATCCCTTCCCTCCTTGCCACCTCTGAATCTAATGGGAATACCACCTCTGTCAATGCCACCCAAATGTGTTCCTCTGCTTCCTTTGGTCACAGAGGCATCTACAGTGCCTACAGATTTGCTTCCCTCCATTACTCAAGCCGGAAGCTTTTCCGGTGACCCTGGCACTACTGTAAATGTAGAACAGACCTCCACGCTCACCTTGGATAGTGCTACCCCAACTTCAAAGGCAACTATTGTTGACAGATCAAGTGAATCCTCTACAGTTAATGAGAAGACATCTGGAGTCACAGATACACAAGCTTCTGAATCATAACTCCAGATCATTCTGTTGGATTGGCTTGGTATTTATTTAGCCATGGGATACATATTTGAAGAGCAAGCTATCATTAATTTCATACTAGTTTGTACTTAATCTTTAGGAGTCCTGTAAATAATATGGAGGTATAATAAAAATAAAAGGGGGTTTATAAAGTGTGTGTGGTGGGAGGGGAGGAAGAGTACTTGTATGTAACCAAAAAAAAAAAGTCAAGGTGGTAAATAGAACTCCACTGCCAAACTCGGAGGTATATGTTTTTAATATAGGCTGACAGCCTTAGCCTGCTAGGCCTGCCCTTGCTTATAATTAGCAATTTTTGCTTCTGATAGAAATGAAGCGGTTCTTGCGTGTGACATTTACGTACCATAGTTCTTGTTCTTTGCAAGTATCTTGTTACTACAGTGGGGATGAGAATGTTTAGTCTGAGTTGTAAATTTTAACACTGCAAAACTTCCACCTAATGATATTTCTATTAAAGTTGCTGAGTGACCTGTTAACTGACATCTTGTTATTCAGCTTGTACACAAATCCTTATTTTTAAGCTCTTGAGAGACGCTCAAGCCATCAGTTTTGTGACTGCTGCTGCGTTGTTTCATACGCCCACTGTAAAATGGCATTTGGAAGGGAATACAGGAAATGTTAAATGTAGCACACAATTTGGCACTTCATGACTACTGTAAGACAAATTAATGGATTAAGCATACATACAGCAATAAATTCCTGGAATTTTATCCTTTGTGTGACAAAACAGCACATTTATTTGTTTAATGCTTAAACTCTCATTTAACTGTTTTTAGCTCATCTCTCTCTATCACAGATCTGCGAAACGGCTCCCTTCCAGAGGAATGGATCCAAGAGGGAATGCCAGACTTCTTAATGGCAGGCAGGATCAGCACTAGCGGTTAGATCCGTTGCAGCAATGAGTCATAAAATCTGCCTGCATATGATTCATACTTGGCTTTTTAAATTGGTGTTCAGGATGAAAATTGTAGATGAACTGTAGACTAGACACTGCTAAACTGGTGTGTGTGCTGTGCTCCAGGTGACAGCCTTCGCTCCAGGTGTCAGGTACAGTTGTGGAAAACTCTGTACTACTCCAGTCCTTCTTATACTACTGGATTTCACTTAAAACATTTGCTTCAGCTGTATCATCAGCAGCTACATAATCCCTTTTGGCAATGCAGTCAGCCTGCTCACTGTTTGGAATAGTAGTTGCATTTAACTGCTGATCTCAAAGAATTAGATCAAATGGAACCCTTATCTAATACCTGTTGTTCTCTTTCATCTTTATCACTTAAGAATTTGGTTTTTATTCTGCCCTGCTACTGCACGTTTCCGCATTACCTGCTGTGTCAAAAGCCTGTGTCAAAGACTGACCCCAAATACTTTTTTTTTTCACACTGTGAGCAGTTTCTTTTCTCAGCTGCTTGTGAAAGCCCTCTGCCTTGTTAAGGATGGGGCTCACTGTTTCTCAGAATGTAGTTTCTTTTATTTACCTTTGTAAATTCAGTGTCACGTACCTCAGAATTAAACCTTGGCATAAGAAAGATGTTCCCTCTTGTCTTTGCTCTATACAGAGAAAAATCTGTTAGTATTGAGCTTCATAAAACCTCCCAGGCCTAACAGTCTTTCCTGTAACTTCCTTACATGCTTCCACAGCTGGAGTCCTTCTCATTATTTTCCTTATTTAATCCAAGAACAGTAGAAATAGAAGTTTTGTCACATGCTAGATTTAGAGCAATTGTGGATTGTAATCAAATGCATTGAACTAGAATCCTTGGGGAGTTTTTTATGTGCTTACAGTAGGGCACAGTGTCCTTAGGAGTTAACACCTGAAGTCAGCTGTCAGGTTTCTGTGCCTTCCACCAACAAGCTGCAAGCTGTCCTTGGCGTTGTGCGGTTGTCTCTAGGAGCAGACAAAGCAAGGCGATTAGTCTGAGGGCATGCACTACTTTTAGCTATTTTAAGGTCCGTTGTTGCTGATTTTATGGCTCCAACTCTTTGATAGGTACGCGAGCAGTGGGAGTAAGGCAGTTTTTAAGGGGTTGTTTCTGAGGCCCTGTCGCCGTTGCCGTTAAACCCTGCCGGAGCTGGCTCTGCAGCGGCCGTGGCCGGGCAGTAGCATGGCCGGGCCAGCAGATGGCGCGCGGCGGTTTCTTGTGGCAGTTTGTAGGAGCAGCCCCGCGTGCCGGGTGGCCGTTGGCGCCGCCCCCGCGCCCCTCAGCAGCACCTGAGGGGAAATGGCCGCCGGCCGCGTGCTGGGCGGCAGCACGGCGAGGAACCGCAGGTAAGTGTAAACCAGGCTGGTTTGAAGGCAGAAACGGGCTGAGCTTCAGCTATTTCTGAATTCAATACTTTTGCTGGCAGTTTGCTGACTTCAGGCAGGCTAAGGGCGGGCAGGGTGAAAGGTTGTTTTGAAGAAAGCAGATCCCTACAGGCAGGGACTTGCTTGAGATACCGTAACACCGAAGGAGAGGCCTGGGCAGTATTTCCAACCTCTCAGTGATGTAAGTGCTGATTACAGAATTAAGTTGAAGGGGGCAGGATAAGGATCAGTGATGTTTGATTGTGGCACCCCATCTTCCTCAATTATATGCAGGCTTTGTCTATACTAGTCAAATGAGTGTACTCACCATCACTCCCTGCCGTGTAGGCCCCGCTGGCAGCAAGCTCAGATTCTTTGATTCATCACTTGGAATTAGACACCCAGAATCTGTCTCATTTTAGATTTGGATCCTGCAATGGAAGGCAAGAATCAGACCGCAGAAGTGTTTCTTCACTGGTGAGTGTGCATGGTTCATGACTAACTCATGCTTTGTAGTCCTGCTCTGTACATCCTTCAAGATAGTGCTAATGGTGTAATACACATTTGAGCAGCCCAGCACACAGTGTCTTGGACTGTGCTGCGCCTTCTAGTAGTAACTTTACCTCAGAAAGCAAAAAAAAAAATCTTCAAACTGATTTTCCCCTAACATCTGTGGTAGAAACTTTTTTTTTAAGCTGTGGTATAATGGGGAGCCAACATCTACCATAGCACAGTTTTAAAGCAACATACTTAAGGTGCAAGAACCTATCTCAAAAAAACCAAAACCACACAACACACCATCTCAATCAAATAGAAAACTTAATTTAGCTCAGGTGAATCTCCAACAGTTCTGCCCCTGCAGCCCCAGCAAAAGAGTTAAGGCATAGTAACCTGCCATTTTACAGATTAACTAAGAGATTTGCAGATGGTGGTTAGAGAGGTAGTGAGCTGAGCAAGGAGCAAATACATCCTTTTCCAGAAGCCTCAAATAACATTTATCCTTAGGCCTTGTGAATACATTATGTTGCCAGGGTGCAGCTAGCAAATCAGAATTTCACTTGGGTGGATGACTGTTGTTTCTTAGGAACAGCCTTTGCGCATTATTTCAGTTGCAAGTTAGTACTAAATTGCCAGTTCTGTGCTATGACACACTTGGCATGCAAAACTGCATGAACTTCAAAGGCCATGTGGAGACCTGCTCTGGCTGGGGGACATGGTTGTGTTACCTCACTCACAGCAGGGAAGTGTGGTCCCATCTCTGTCCGTCGGCCACGCACCTGACTCTGCTGCTCTTCCTTGCACCTGGAAAGGCAGAATTTTGTTATAAGAGGAGGCTGCAAATATTATTACTCTGCACTGACAAGCTGACTATGGCCTCATGAAATAATCACATTCTCAGCCACAGAACTTTTATCATATAGGATCTAAAGATATGTTTCACCCTTAGTTGTGCAATGTAGTATTTTTATTTTCTCTGAACAGTTTCCTGTGTCAGGCTCACCGTTAATCTGTCTTAAAACTTCCAGCATTGCTCAGCTCACCCACAAGAGCGAGCTTCAGAGACCACAGAGGTCAGGCTCACCTTGGGCAACCCATGGCAACAGTGAAAGCCACTTCTGCCAACAAAACAATCCATTTTAATAACAGTCCTCTTGTCTGAGAGCTGTTTACTCTGCCAGCAAGTGGTTGCATATACATGTACTTTGTTCATGGCCCTTGTAGCTTAGGTGAGGTATGAAACCCCAACAAAAGCTAAAAAAAAGAACTGTGAGGGATGAATGCAAGCTTCAAAGACTATAGTGGACATAGGCTTACTGGTTATGTAAGAAAATGCTGCAATGGAAGATGGTAATATTAGCAAAAGCATGCAGAGCTACGAGCTTTAGCTTTGAGAAGGGCCGCTGGATGTAATGGGGGGGTGTCACTGAGGGTTGACTCATCTGGGCTGTCAGATGTGCAGAAAGGACATTAGAGCACTGCCTGGGTCCTGGTCCCTGAAGACATCACTTCCCAGCCCTCACAGTTTATCAGCCAACATCCTCTGCTTTCATGAACAAATGTTTTTATTACGGTGTTCTTGATGAACAATAGTCACAAATAAGAAAACCTCAGCTAACATCACTACATTCTCACCTGGTATAAGAGAAAGAGCTTCCAGTTCTTTGCTTCCAGTTCTTCTCTCTCTGTGGAGAGACAGAGAGAGCAAGCATACAGTTCAGTAGCTGACAGCAGTCACCATCTTGTTACCACCTCACTACCATCTCGCCCTTAGCCTTCAAGCTGATTTTCCCTAAAATCCTGGGTTTTTTGAGTCTTCAAAACAGTCTTCTTTAAAAACAAACTGAAGATTTCAAACCTCCTATCCTGGCATTTTTAGGTACCTATTATATGGGCTTGGAGCTGTGGACGTACCATGTGCTTGGATTTGTAGATACCATCAGGCAGTGCTTAAACAATTTGAAGAAGGAATCTGGGAACTGAAGCTAGCTTAGAGAAATAGTACAACTTATTTAAGAAACATTAGAACTTGGAAACAAAAGTTGAATTTTTTTATAAACAGCAGGTTGGTTTAACAGTTATGAGGCATCAGTGAATTTTTATCAACTATGATGCTAAAAGCTAAAACTATAAGAAAACATATGAGAACCTGTTTCATAGTACTGTTTGTGCCCTCATGTAAGTTTGTGTTCATGTGAAACAGAGAACAGAACAAGCGTGTTCTCAGGCAGTGACACTACTTTACTAAGCTCAGAAATCTGACAATAGGAGTTGGTTTTGCACATATAAACAGTACTTGGGTAAAATCCTTTTCAAGAGCGACTGCAACTGCTAAGAAAATAGAAACCCACTGGAAGTCTGTGTATTGCCAAATAACATGCTGGGCACTGGAAATGGCTGAATTTGTAAAACAATTACCTTGTATTTCAAGGTTACATTTTATTTGAAGCAGATTTCTTACCCATCTTACCAGTAACACCTATTTAGAGAGAAGAAAAAAAAAACCCAACCAACCCCACAACTAAAAAAAACCCTACATTTGCTCTATGGGCAGTAACCATTCAATAATGAAAAGAAACTTACTGTTCCTAACCCACTTCTTGACCGTTTTCATTGCTAACTACAAAAAAAGCAACAAAAATAACATTCTTCTGGATTTCACTGTGCTGCTGAATATTTTTAGCCTAAAAGTACACATCATAAAAGCGTAGGAAGATTTTGAGGAATTTGGGGTGAAATATTGATAACTTTGAGGAATTGAACCAAGTATTTTTCAAACGCTCCTTGGAAACTGCCATCTGTCATTCATACAGCGGTGTGCTTGTGCATCCTTACCTGGCAGATTCACGTTGCTGGAGTTCAGTAGCGGCACAGTCTGCTCCAGAGTCTCTCACCAACTTGCAGAAGGACTTGTTTCAGCCTGGGATCCTGTCCTTGCAATGCCTGTCTGTCAGTCTGCAAACACCTGCCTCCAACAATCACCACTCTCTCAACAAGCATATTACTACCCCTATCTCTAAAGGACTTACTGCCTCAGTGGCTGCTGCCATATCCCGTGCCACAGAGGTAATATTTCAGGATAAGGCCTGAAGGCATCTCAGATTCTTGTGCACTATATCATCTCTCTCCCCTTTTTCTCTCTCCACCTTACTCTCCACATCATTTCTGTCTGGGGCCTTGTAGTATCATTCAGAAAGGCTAGAAAGTGTTGCTAAAAACAGGGGGAGATTTCTTGTGGTGTGTAGGAAGAGAGATGCTGAAAGAGAGCTGTTAAAGGACAGAAGCCAGATGGCTTTCTCCTTACTAATCACTACTTTTGGCACTCTGCTTGGCTATTCCATAGAGCAGAGGGGTCCTACTGTCAGCTCTTGCCTGGAACTCCTCATTTGCCATCCTCCCACGGGAAGTGCTGATGATTTTTTAATTACTTCTTCTTGGACCTCCCAAGAAAGGAGCGGAAGTCAGCACCCACATCCATGGCCTGATATTCTCTGCACACCTTGGTCACCGTCCTTCAGCTGTAGCCTACTCCACCTGAGAGCTCTGCGGCTTCGGTGGAAGACAGGGGCTGGTCTGAGGGAGGATCACAAGTCAGCTGGTGGGGGAGAGCGCCCACAGACATTGCCCTGTGCCCGACACCCGAGACACCACATCCCGTCACCGTGAAGGCAGCAGTTTCCAAGAGGCAGGTTTGCAACAAGAATCTTGCTCGCGCTCACTCCTGTTGCCTGCTGACACCCCAAGCACCCCGCTCTCTTCAAGGAGAGCTCTTCAAAAGGATTAAGAGTAATAGAAAGCTGTTGTTACCGCACACGGGGCTGAACTTGAACAGATGCACTTCACTAGAGGAGGGTGTTTGATGAGTCCTGTACGTATCTCCTTATAAAGGCTACAAATATGCTTTCTGAAAGAAAGACACTATTTAAATTTATTAGGCAAATAATAAATAATGCCCTCAGCCTGCAGCAGTCTCTGAGCACAGGGCATATGGCGCCTTTCCAGACCACATGGCAGCCAATGAGCCAGAGCTGGTGATTATTTCACCCACCTTTGGCAGGAAATAAAACATCTGTTTAATCCTGACAGTGGGACTCCCCAGTAGTTAAGCTAAGATGGTTAAAAAGGAATATAATTTAAAATTTTGTTTAAGGCGGCAGAAGACAGTGATAGACTTTTCAAATTTGATAAGACTTCAGCCTTACCTTTGAGAGCCTGGGGATTTTTCACAGCCGTAACCAGTCAGGACCTCTGTTTCACAACTCAGGTAGAAAGAAATCTTGGTTTTGAAAAAGGACATGTTTTCACAGCTGGACAAGCGGTTGTGGCTCTGGACTGCCCACAGATAGATCAGCTATATTTGCTGCTGCTCTCAATGCTCTTGGTTATCAATGGTATTTCCTATTGCTGTTCAACCACAAGGCAGTATTAAGTGCTTGAACACTTGCACTTGTTAATGTGAAAAAGCACCGTGAGCAGATATACCATTCTGTGAAATCCGTCAGCAGATGAAGATATTTTTGGGGGTGCAGAACAACTTCTAAAATGATCTATTCCCCTGGAAAGTTAAAAAAAGTATTATTGATTATGAATGAGTAGCCAGTGGACTGACTGAATAGCTCAGCTAGGCAGTGATGAAGAGGAAGGACAGCTGCAAGTCTCACCTCCTAGAACAGCAACAGAGCCATAAGTGATCAAAAGAGGCAGCCTCAAAAAAAGGGAGGGGTATTTACTGAGAGTGATATGGTCAGAGAGGGCAGTGAAACTGAGCAAAGAGAACTTTAGATGAAATGCTTGTAATAATGCCTGTGTCTCAGATTAATCTGCATAATTCAAATCCCCTTCGAGAAAAGGACAAAACAAAGTATTGGGTTCAGCAACCCAAAGAATAAGCCTGTGCTGAATTACTGGAGCAAGATGAGAAACAGTTGCTGTTTTGTGGGATTCATCCTGCTCTACCCTCTTCATATCCAGCAGAGCTAGCTCGCAGACGCTGTAGTGCTCCTCTTTGAACTGGTTTAGCTCAGTGGGTGGATGGGCATTTAGTTAGCGGTGGTCACTTTGGAGGGAGGAGGGTTTGGAGAATCTTTATCCCACAGGCCATCAATGAGAACAGATTCCAGCTGGCTGCAAGCACTCCCACTAGGATGTGAAGCTCAGCAAAGTCTTAAGTGAATGATGCTTCTGAGCACCCTTGTCAGCTGGTAAGCACAAGCGCCCTGGCACGCACGGCAGCGCTGAAATGTACAGAGTCATAGTCATTATTGTGCCACCTCTTAGGAAACAGCTGATTTTGCTGCAGTTTGCAGCAACAGATGTGGACTAAACCCTCCAAAATTTTGTGTCCGTTTGAGGCAGTAGTACATAATAAAAAGGAGCTTGAGTCCTACCAAAGACACAACTGAAAAGCAAAATGGGACTTTGGTAAACTCGACTTTGCCAAACTCGACTTTGCCTGTTGCACTCACTTCTCTACTGGCTTTGCCTAGGTCCAAACAAAATGTGCAGCCTCTGCTGCTGCAGGTAGCTGTTGTCCTTTGCTCAGCGATAAAATTGGCTATTGGAGCAGAGCTGTAACAGAAGCTGCTGCTCTGGTTATAAGCTCAGAGCTACTAAGGCTGGGCAGAGCATGACCATCTTCCACCCTGACCTGCCGCAGTCGCCAAGAGTTCCTGTGCAAGCTTCACATTCCTGAATGAGTTGGAATGTATTTTGAGAAGGAACTCAAACCTCAGTTGATAGTGGTCGATTATATACCTTCAACTATTAAACCTGTACAGTGTTTTGTTTCCCTCACTGGAAGTAAAGGGTGAACTTTTCTTCCCCGTTATGGTCTTTGTAATACTGTGAAATGGCATCTTTTCAAGGGTACACTGCAAAAAGAGTGCCTTTCTTGACTGTTGGCCACACATTCACAGGTGTCTTTGCTGTCAGTTATTGATGCTGTCAAGAAAGCTGCATCCCTTAAAAGGCTTCCAGCTGAATTTAAGCTCCAGGCCAGATACTTTCTCTCTGCAGGGTAACTTTTACCATCAAATCTTACTGGAACAAGGCGGCTTTAAAACTAGGAAAAAATGAATGAGGAAATCAGTGATACCAATTATACACCAAATGAAGATAAGTCCCTCTGTCTCATTAGCACTGTTTAATTATGCTTGGATTTAAATTCTAAATATAGTTCATAAGAATTCACAAGGGCAAGTGTTTGCTTCCACTGTTGTAATCCTCTCCATATCTAATATTTCACTGTCCTATAAGATCAATAATTTTAAGGACCTGTCAGCTTGAATCATAAATAAAGAAGATGCTGACACTTCAACCCTTAGAAGTGAAAAATGTTGGTTAAGCAATGGCTTATGCTTGATATTTGCATTGCTGTGAGAGTCCAGAAGCCTCATCTGACTTTTCAGCTTCCTGTGGTGGGTCTGTGTGAACACAGAGAGAGAGTCCTTGCTACAGAGTCCTATACTCTTAATAAGGCATAGGCAGTATGTTTTCAATATGCATGTGTGTATGTATTAATGTATGTATGTATTTGTCTGCCTGTCAATCTATTTATCTATCTCTTTAAATGCAAAACATCAAAGTTTGCAAAAATTTGGGTCCTATCTCCCCAGTCTCAGTCAAGCACTTGACCCAATCCATCCTTCTTTGGGATTATCTTTACCAGTTTGTCATTACAAACCTGGTAACAAGTATTTCTAATTACTTGACTCAGTCGAGTTACTATTAGTTTTCAGCAGGATTCTAGAAAGCCCTCCTAAATCTGGGTCTTCTCTCAAGGGGTTCTCCTCTCAAGAAAGAGAGGAGACCCACTCCCTCACTGCCTGGAGAAAATGCCCACAGAGCCAGTTCTCTGCTCACCAAGAGGAAAACTACTCTTAGAACACGTAAAATATACCTGTCCGAAGCACCAGTGAGGGAATGTGTCCAATTTGAGATGATAGGTGGGGCTTAAACACGCAGTTTTGCACCAGCCAATGATGCAAGGAAGGAATGGGGAAATTCAGTGGGGAGGAGAGAAGGAAACTCCCTTTTCCCTTTCCAAGTCTAGTTAGAAATTCACAGTGTTAAGAAGCCCTATCTAAGACGACCAAGATTTCCAAAATATTATCAGCATTTCTAAAAGCAGTGAGTGCAAACATGCTGCCTAGTCTATCACCAGGCTTTGCTAATCCTTTATCAGTGGTTTTGTTTAACTCAGAAATACTGTTAATTAATCTAACCACATATAAATCTATTGATTAACTGGGAATTTTACTGCCCTCAAAACTACAAGTTTATTGCACTTATGAAAACATTTTACATTTGCATCCTGGATTAGTACTTATCTGCCAAGAACAGATGTAATTGCTTAGTCATAGTGCGCAAAGGCATCTGATGCTCAGTGTAGCATCGGCTTTGGGTGTCCAAAGGATAGTGAACATAGATGCAATATTAGATATGAGTTTCAGATGCTTGAGTTCATGCAGGACCTAGGGGAATAATCTCTTTCACGCCCATGGGATATGGGATAATTAAAACACCAGGTTCTCCCTACTTTAGTTTAGTCAGGGAACACTTAAAGTAAGATGGTAGGTATCCTCTCTCTAGAGAAAATTATGCAGAAATGGTGCTGAGTACATTAACGTGGTAGCACCCAGACCACTGTGGTGGTTGCTGTGATCGTTGTTTCTTGGAAACTTTGGTTCTGTGTAATCCCTCAGCAGACAGCAGAGACCAGCATGGGCTGTGGGCTAGGTCTCTCTCATATGCTAAAAAAGCATTGGCTTGGTCAAGTATTTGTGCGACGGCACAAAAGAAACACTAAACTAACCAGCTACCTGAGGGCCCCACAGGAAGTGGTGTTGACTTGCAGGGGGATGTTTCCTACATTTCCCACTGGTGGCTTTGCCTGCTACTGCAGAACATCTCTGCTGTTTGCTGTCTGTCAGGTGAGAGATAATCTCAGCCCCTTGCCCTCTTCTTAACATGACTGATTTTGGTCGGTGAATGAAGCTAGTGTGCCACCCGCAAGGGCAGGATTAATAGCTGTCGTGTGGAGGAATGCTCTTTGTTCCAAGCCCTGCCTGAAAAGTTTCCTCCCTGTCAAACTGAGCAGAGACCCACGGACAACACTGAAAGCAGACTCTAATCTCTGGCAGTTTAGAGGGGTGCAATGCAAACTTGAAAGAACATAACTGCTGGATACAACTCGTTGCTGTAATGAGAACATGCCCTTGGGGTTTATGACAAACAAATTCCAGTTGCTTTATTGCATTGTGTCTGAATTTCCCCCTGTCGTTTTAGATGGATACAGCACACTGTTGGATCATGTCTGGAGAAGGAAGTTATTTGTACAACTCTGGAGGGAAGGAGAAAATCTCTGGCAAGATGTCCACACAATGAAAACTTCGGAATACTGGTAGGATAGCCAGCTGACTGCCCCCATTAAGAGAGGTGCTCCTCCTGAGGGAAAGCCAAAGCACCAAAGCCCCGCTGTGAGGGTAAGCCTGCCTCTGGGGAAGCCCCTCTTCCTCCGGGGGATCTAGACAGAGGCAGGGACAGCCTGAGCTGAAAGTGGAGCCCTGTCCTGCACCAAGCTAAGATGCTACCATTTCCACAAGTGTCTCTCCCCCTGTTCCTCATGCCCACCAGCGCTCACACCCACTTCCCAGCACTGGTGCCTGCGCTCATGTGGCTGCTCAGTCCTGGCTGCAAAGTAAACCAGCCAAGAAGAGCACTGTGTTTTCACCCAGCTGGTGAGACTTAGCACACAGCTGCGTGGTCGTTGGTCTGGGGGCAAGGGAGGCCGTGGGGGTGAGGGGCTCAAGGTGAGCCCTGGGTTAGCTTACACTGCCGGCAAAAACCACAACTCCAGCTCGGAATGTAAAGCATTATCAAATCCTGGACAAAGATGAAGAGCATCATAGCTCTCACACCTTTTGTTATTTTAGTCTGGTAGCTGTAAAATAGCACTTTTCCTTCCCAACGCACAAAACAACTTTTTAGATATTAAGATGATAGAAACTTCTAATATACAACCACGCCCTAATGCAATCAACTTATGTGAAGCAGTCAGGTAGTTTTCACATTAAATATTTGTCTTGGGTCAAAAATGCAACAAAATCTTTGAAAGTAAAAGAATATTTAATTTCTCTAAAGCACAACAGCCATACTATTAGGATTAGTAACTACTCCATTATATTTTTAAGTCAATAATTCTCTTGCAGATTATATATTGTAGTAGCTATCACTGTTTCTTTCACCATATTAGCAATTAGTTTAGCACTACCTTCTGTCATTCATTCACCTTTATCAGCACAATGTCCTATGAATAACATGTTAGAAATCATAACCAGTGACCATCATAAGGAAATGTGTGACTTGAAAATGATACTTCAAAAGCCTCTGAGTTGTGACTGTGTCATTTCAAATGACAAGAATGACAGTAATAAGAATAAAGTCCAGAGAGAAGAAGAGCTGAATTACAATATTTCCATTTTCAATTATAAATCTATTCTGTGAATTTTGCTTCAAACTATTAGGTATAAATCAATGCATTGCATAGATTCCCTATTATAGTATTTGAGAATCTAAAAGTCCGAAGTTTCTTAATAACAGGCGAGGGCTTAACACAAAAATTGAGGAGAAAAAATTCAGAACTGTTACAGTTAAGATCTTTTACAGATTCTTTTCCCAAACTCTACAATTCAATAGTGCCATGAACTCCAAACAGAAGTCATGCTTCACTCCAGAAGCTTTGATTCTTATTTCAAGACTTCTGCTCCAAGTCAGATGGATTGTACAAACCATTAAATGTTCTTCCATCCTTTGTTACAAGCTATTCCTCCCTGCTTTACTTAAGCTACAAGAGAAACAATTTTCTCCTAGTATTTGTTGAATTGATAGCTAGCCAAGTACAGCTGAATGCTCGCAACTACTAATACCCCATGCCAATTTCTAGGAAAATTAGTGTCATTAGTATTTAAATCCTCTGCCTGCAGGAGACAGAGAAGCCCTGGTCCAATATCCTGGAGAGATCAGCAGTCACAGCATCTGCTGCTCTGATATTGCCATGCTCAAGCTCTGTGTCACGCCGGTGTGAGGTGCAGACAGGTAAAATAGATGTTTAGCAGTATGAATACAGCACCTTGCTTTGCCATCTTGTGGGCGCTGGGAAACCCTGTGCTTCCTTCTGCCCTGGGCTGCTAGGAAGTATGTCTGATTCAGCTCGCCAGTGGTAGGCCAAATTTTGATGTACCTTCCTGATTTTGGGCTGAGACTGATTTATGAGCAGCAAAGTGCTGCCTTATAAAGTTGTGATGGTTCAGGCACCACTACTTTTCCCCTTGGGCCCTGGGCTTGCTTTCTGTATATCTGAATTTGAGATACAATGTAAAAGTTTGCCACTAGCTATTATAGCAATTCACCTTATATCCACCCAGTGCGTGGTGGCTGAGTCTGAGACATACAGCAAGTTATCTAAGTGAGCACAGCTGAAGTGTCATTTCAGTCACACCATCTGTCTGGAGCCTTGCCTAGCTAACTCCTGCTTGGTTTTCCCCTATTTCAAATAGGAATGGCTCATATTGGCTTTTCTCCATGATCTCTGTGCCCTGTCTGTGTTGCTCCTTAGCACAAAACTAGCAAAATCCTTTGCAACCTAGGTAATGATTTGCAAAACCCAAAAGGAGAAAACCATGACCTGACTCACTGAATGAAAAAAAAAAGAGCCCTTCACATTGCTGCCTGATGTTAACAGAGCACATCAAAGCATGCCCCAAAATAGAAAAGGTATCTCAATGTAATTCAGCTGAATTCCTCTCAGTGGTCTCTGAGATAAGGATTAAAAAAAACTCAATCTTTACAGTTTTCACCATTAAGTCCATGTTTTGTTTAATATGCTACCTATACACTAAGGTTTTCATTTTATCAATATATTAAGCTATTACTATGAGTGAGAAAGGATGAGGTTAATGAAAACACAGGAATTCTGACATAATAAAGGATGAGAGAGGAGTAATTATTCTATTTTATCTGTACGGCTTTTGTTAATTGGGTGATAGGACAATAACCTTTATGATATGCTGATTTGTTAGATTGGAATGTGTTTGGGCTCAGTAATAAAACTGTCTTGACATCTGACAGCTCTAAGAAGACAATTTATGAGATCAGGGCTCAGTATCTGATAGATCCTTATGTAACCCTACAAGCTACACGAGGATTTAGTGGTATCATATAAATGTATGTGAATTGACATTTAATCAATGGACTGAAGTGCTCCAAATTCACTATGGGCAAGTGCTCATGTGTATTTTGCCAACTAATGTGTTCTTACCTGGATTTGCAACAGAAGGGCAGGCAGGGAAGGTATTCCAGTGCTTGAATCGGCGACGAGAGCTCTGCCAGCTGCCACTGAGCCACAGCTGCAAGCCTGAAAAGAACCATTTGTACACTAGTTAGGGTGATTATTTTTGTAACGAAGAAAGTTTTCCATTATGCAAATGTACAAAGCTGTGTAATAACTCTTCATGTGACTGTTTAGAGGGACAAACTTAGGAAAGAAGCTGCACCTTCTCGCTAAGTCAGCTCCATGTATGTGACCATTTGGCAGATCCCATTCCTCTGTAACGCTCAGCTCAAGGGCAGATGAGACAGAATTCCAGGAGCATGAGGGAACATGTTTTGCTTCTTTGAATCCTGTAAGTTCTTGCTAATCTCATTTTTTTTAGTGGAAACTGCTGTTCTGCCATGAAGGCAAGCAAAGATTTCCTGGATCTGCTCATGCATACACAAAGCAGCGCAGCTCTCAGCGCTCTGTCCTGCAACGCTCCCACCAATGCTAACAGGGAGTCAGTTCCCTTTTCCAGCTTTCCTTACAGGCCTGCTAAAGTCAATATGAGTCAACACCGTGCTGCAGCGGCAAAGAAAGCCAACAACATGGTGGGTTGCACCAACAAAGGCATCACCAGCAGAGACAAAGAAGTCATTATCCCACTCTACTCAGGACTTGCAACACCTGGAATCCTGTGTTCAGTTTTGGTCCTGCTATCCAAAAAAAACGTAGACAGGCTGGAGGGGGTCCAGACAAGGGACACAAAGATGATCGAAGGCCTGGGAAGCCTGAGAAAGGCTGAGAGAATTTGGTTTGTTCAGCTTTGAGAAAAGAAGGCTTAGGGGAGAGCTTATTACCATGTTACAGTATTTAAAGGGTGGCTACAAAGAAGGTGGAGCCGCCTTTTTTACAAGGAGTCACATGGAAAAGATGGGTAATGGCTGCACGTTACTCCTGGGGTGATTCTGACTGGAAACGAGAGGAAAATCGCTCACAATAAGATCAATCAGCCATTGGAATAATCTCCCAGGGAAGTGGTGGAACCCCCATCGTTGGACACTGTTAAGATGCAGCTGGACACGGGGCTGGGCCATTTTGTCTAGACTGTGCTTTTGCCAGATGATCTTTGGGGTCTCTTCCAACCTGGTATTCAATGATTCTATGATTCGCATAATATCAGTGGACAGTGAAGGCTGATGTGGTTCAGGAAGGCTGGGGAAAGGTTGCAGTGCACAGAAAAAGATACCCTGGTCTTCACTTGTATAGAAAAAAAAAAATAAAAAAATCACTGTAACTACTGTGTGATAAAGCAACTGAGATTTTGGAATGTGGACCTGAAGAAAAGCTGCAGATGTGTTTGCTCTGCTTCTGCTTCACTGCCTACCTCCCCGCCCTGAGGACCACTTCCCTGCGTGCTGAGGTGCATGTAGAAGCGGTGCCACTGCCTCAGCACCACTGAGCAAGTGGAGACATTGTCACCCTTTGTCACCACCTTTTGGCTGCCTAGCACACCACAACACCCAGCTGCACACCAGATTTGTATTGCTTGCTGAAGCACTAGGTGGCTTGCACCATCCGCTAATTACTGTGCTGTACCTGCAGGGAGGAAAGCCAAAGCATGGCTCTGGACATCTGGAGCGTGATGAGAGGACTTGGGGTATGGGGAGAAAAACTGCAATAATGCACAGAAATTATCAGAGAATGTCAAAGGACTATGCCATCTGAAAGCACTTCACATGAAGGAAAAGAAGATCTACTCATATGAAAAGAAAACCCCACATGAACTGTCTTCTACAACAAGCTTTTCTCAAGTTTCTGTTTTTCATGTCCTGGCTTTATTTATTTATTTATTTTTAAATCCACAAGCTCAATTGCATTTTTAAGCATCACAGGGCCTCTTTCTCTACAAGTCCCAGTTCTAGTTACTCCATTGCAGTGAAAGGTATGCAAACAATATATAAATTTAGGTTAAAAGGCATTTGGGCAATAGGAGACACATACTGCCAGATCTTAGCTAGAAGTACTACAATCTGAAATATCATCTTTACATATATTATATACAAGGCATGAACTTGTAGATGTGTGTGGCACTTTTATCCCTTTGGCTAGAATCATAAAAAAAGGTCTAACCCCATGTTTGTACATACAGCCAATGTATTTAACATAACATACTGCCTTTCATGAAGTCACATACAATTGATTTTTTAAACTATCATAGTTGTCTATTAGAGAATAATATTCAGCAGAAGCTCGTTTGAGAATGTGTAAAGACTCCTTTCCTTCTGCCCTGGACTATAAATATTTCAGAATTGCAACATTAAAAATAAACTAGGCTATTGATACAGCAAGGTACTGACGGACACATCTACGCATTTGGCTCATGCTTATTCCTCTCTGAGCCATAGACATTCCCAGACCTTACTGAAGACAAGGACTCTGCCAAGGACCATCCTTCCAGTCTCAGTGAAGGCAGGAATTACACAACTAAAATCGCCACCTGCAAAACCGATTCGAACCTTGTGTATGTGTAAACAGCATTCCCAAGAGTAACAGCAAACACAAGGGTGATGTTCAGGGACTGCTTTTGTTTTTTACACTGAAAACGCAACTGCCAAACTACAGAAACAGTACTGGGCTCAGGCCATGGCATTCTCTTCCTGGGAAACACTCGTACCACTGGGCTGCAGAGTTGTCTTCTGCTGAGTGCCATGACATAGGTTCCACAGAAGAGCAAGAAAACAGCTTACTTTGTTAGCTGACCTGGTGGTAGCACATCCTCTGAGGATACAGCAAATGTGGGTTTGATCTCCATCACTTTTTAAACAGAAAGTCCCTGTGCATATTTTAACGATGCACAGAAGATACCACACAATGAAAAGATTACAAGGTGACTCAATTACTTAGAGAACAATAGAAAAAAAAAATTCTTCAACAGCAAGAGTTTCCCTAGCATTGTTAGGAGTTGCATATCTCAAATAACGCAAGAATCTCACTTGTTCAGAGGACAATAAACTTAACTCCAGCAGGTACTCAAGAAGAACGCACAAAGTTCAAAATGAAATACATGGAGCTGCACAGAAAGAAAGGCTCATGTCCTACATGTGGAGCCTTTCCATAGAACTGGAAATAATAGGCTAAATAAGCAGCAAGGAGGACAGGATGCTAGGAAAAACCAGAGTAGGTTCCTTGGGTAAGTAACACAGCCTCCACCTTTAAGAATAATGTGCATAAATTTTTAGGAATGTAAGTAAACTTGAGCCAAACATGGGTATTGGAGAGACCAGGGAGTTTTTCAGGGACCCTTGCCTGGTAAGCACTGAGGGTCAAGTAAAACCTGTTTTGCTTGTGGTAAAGGCACCTGGAAACACATTGGCCTTAGGTGGTAGGTATGCAATGCAAGGCCCCCCAGCTTGGAGCTCTGTTTATCTTACTAGATTCCTTTAATTAATCTGTGGTCACAGAGACATAAAATGGCTGGATCATTCGTTATCTCTCGGAAAAAGTTTGCATTCTTACCTTTTCCACAAGCGCAGTGCAGTCCTCATCTCTGCAGCCCGTGGTGGCTGGAGCTGGGTATGCTCCAGGCCTCAGGAGAGGTATTTGCACCCCAAATCCCACAGCAGGATCACGCTGGGACTCTGGGAATGCCAGTGCCCTGGCCCCAGAGAGGTGGCAGGCTGGTGGGCACCCAGTGAGAGACGGTGAAACGCTGTCAGTCCATGCTGCCAGGCACCCCTCACCTGCAGAACCAGGGTCCTCCCTCTGACAGCAGCTGATTAGTAGAAAAAAATTTTTTAAAACATACAAAAGCAATTATGAGACTGATGTGTTTAAAACATTGAAATCGGGAGACCCTCTTACCACTCTACCCCCAAATTTTGAGGCCATCCCTGCCCAGAGACCCCAACTGGGCCAGGCTCCCCAGTCCCCCTTCCCAACACAATCTCCCACTTCTGGAGACGACCAGCAAGTCCCAGGGGCTCTTTGAAGAGAAGTGACTGTCCCAGAGACCCCTCTGGCCCTTCCCCCCAGCAGTATCCCTCTCCCTTCCAGCCCCCTGTAGAAAACATGGTGGCGGGTGAGGAGGGGGTGGCTGTGGCCACCTGCCCAGCCGGGCCCCCCCCAGCACCATGACAGGGGAACCTCCAGCCCCAGCAGAACCAAATCCCAGAGCAAAATGGAGCAGCAGCACCCCTGGGGACCCACCTCCCCTCCCCAAACTGGAGGTGACTGGCAGGGAGAGCTGTGGGATGGGGAAGACAGGCCTGGCCGGGCTGGTGGTGGCCTGTGGTTTCGGGAAGATGTCAGCAAGAGCACCTGGGACACTTCAAATCCCAGGGCACGTTTTCTTTTCCAGGGCTTGCTTATTTTAAAATGCGCCTTTGCGTGGGGTCCCTGCACCCCTCAGCACCTCACCCACCCGTGACTCGCATACCGAGAGGGCTGGTGGCTCTGTGGGCTTTTGAACGCCTCTCATTATGCAGCGGTTTGCTCACAGCCATGGTGTGTGCCATCAATAGCGCTCGGGCAGCCGGCCAGCGAGGCACTGCCCTCCCACTCCTCCTGCCAGTGCTAAAAGCACTTCTTAGAAAATTGAAATATTAACTAGCCCCCATGAAAAGGGCATCTACCAACTAGCATTGACCAAGTTAAGGGCGAATAACGTTCCATGCCGAAATCTGAACAACTTCAGTGCAACCATAAATACAATAGAACAGTGCCAAAACATGGCTGTTTTTCAGAAACAAGCCAACCATTGTTAACTGGCTGCAATGACCTGCGGGGCTACAATTATAGTTAAAACTGCAGAACTTTTCATACACTCACCTCTGTTTCATGCGTAGGTGGTTTTAATTATACAGCAAAGTAGTATTTTAGCATCTTCCGGTAAATGCAGAAATTTTAAAGTATTTATGAATTTTAAGTAAAGCAAGCCTTTTGTTTCCACAGTTCATTAAAAACTGCCTGACGAAATGTAACTTCATTCCTTTTGTCTATCTGCTGCTAAATCAAAAGAGAGCTTAGGAAGTCTAGCGATGGATGACGCATGATCAAATTAGTAAAATGTGCATGAAATGCAGATTGAAGAACCGATGCATGCATTACCCAGGAGCAGCTCAGCATTCTTCCACCAGCAGCAGTAATTCGGGCTCCTTGGCTCAGCCTCAAGGGTACTTCTATCCCAAGTGCAACTTGCTGAATACCAGGCACCACACACATGGACTCAGATGTCTTCCTGTGACCACAGAATGACTCCATGTGGGGATACAAAACTTTTATTAACAGTACTGTAAGGTGCTAACACACACACAATTGTGTTTGAAGGTATTCTGTGTAAACTGTGTGTATGGAAGGTAAAAACCTTGCAACTTTGATTCAAAAGATGAGGTGACTCTCCTTTTCTTTCACATATTTCTATATGGAGCTTTGTTTAAGCCAGTGTTTACATTTCAGAAACGCGTACTTGAGAAGCTAAAGTGCCACGTATTCAGCCACAACAGCCTATTCCCAGATGATATCACCAGGAAAAACAAGTCTGTAAGTAACTAGTGCAATGCATGAACCCCCTTATTTTAGGGAGCTGTAAAATTTCCAGTTACGTGAATAGTTCTTTAATATATTGCCAAACTTCCCTTTACTAGAGGTAACCATGACACATTCCAGATAAATAAAAATATAGTTAACACAATGCTATGTATTTTCCTTAGGCAAAACATCCTTTGATTTAACTTCTGATATTGACACAGGCAGAATAAGGAGGAATGAAATCTAACGTGAGCCTACAGCTACGGCACATTCTCCTTGAACCCTGCACTTGGTCTCACACTGTGGAGTGAAAAGGATGCAGTCCCAGCACTCTGGTGCAATATAGAGCAGAAAGAGTCACTATTAGAGTCTAATTTTATTCTAGGAGTTAATTTTATCCCATGGTTAAAGAATTCTAGAAAGAATCTAGAAATCTAGAAATTCTAGAGTCTAGAATCTAGACATTCTAGAAATCTAGAAAGACATTCTACTTAAAGCTGTTCCTCTGAGGTCTATTCAGTGAAATGATGTTTTGGTTACTTCATTACAACAGATGTTTTAAGTTTCACAGAATCTTCCCCTTTCACCTCCAATGTTACTTAAATTGATTATTCTACTATTGCCCTTTTAATTTTAGTTAAAGAGAGTTTGTTGTAAATTACTAAGCTCAGTGATATGTTTATCTGGTTTGTCCTTCCTTGAAATGCAAAAACATGCAACGAAAACCTTGAAATTTCAACTGTCATTGTTTATTACTGTTTTGGCTACATTCTCTACAATTTCAGCAGCATCTTAAAGAGACAGTTAATGTATCTTTATATACAATGAAAACAAAATGGCTTGCAACATCGGAAACAAGAGCAACAGTTTAACTGTACAATACTAAATGAAAACCTGTGGTAATACAGCCTCCTTCTTCTGCAACATGGACAAAATTACATATAGGTATTCAGCATCAAGAATGGGATAGTAAAAAGAATATTGAATGGGGGAGAGATACACTGTTCTGAAAAATAAGTTTCTACCATACAAGGCAATTAGAAAATGTTTCACATTTTAAAATATCTGTACAAGCCACAAGAAACATTTCCTTGTTGATAGGAACTTCCCAAAATGGAGCATAACCGTGAGCCACTTGTACATGTAGTATCAATGCGCTCTGCAGGTTGAGAACGCAATAAACTGACTGAAAGAACTGTACTGCATATTGCCAACACAGACCTGCTTTACATGCCTTGATTGTTAATGAATTACCTACTCTTAATCTCTCTATAACGTACAGTTGACTTGCACCTTAAGGAGGTCATTTGATTCTTTCGCAAAAGTAAAAGCAACGTCATTTAGCAGCAATTAAAAGCGCCTTGAGGGAGACTTAAAAAAAATACAATATCCAATTAGAAAAAGCCATACTTTAAACATTTGTACAGGAATAAGTTGCTGAAATTTAACTGAAAATGTGACATCTGTACAACAATTTACAATAGAGCTAGAAGGGAATTTATCATTATTCCTGCATAGAACATTATACATGACCTGTCTGCATTTGGTTTCATACTGTTGCTTGCTTTTATGAGAAGCCTGGAAAGTATCACAAGTTTCAATACCACAGCAAGTACAGTATTTTTAGAAAATTGAGCGGATTAAAAAAATTAGCAATCTGTTTGAGAAATAAGTACCAGGAATTCCATATCACCCTTCGAATCTAAATTCAGTGAAACACCACCACATTTTCGGAAGTACAAGCCTGAGTTGCCAAATAAAATACTACATTTTTATCTGAGGAATCTGATACAGAACACATCTTTGACCGTCTCACACTCCTTACTTTGGTTTCAAAAGATCAACGTCTTGGAAAGATGGCAGTTTATTTAGTTTATAACCAGGCACGGAATTTTTCCTGTGTTTTCAAATTTGCTCACTACCCTTTCTTATTTAAATAATGAAAAACTACCCTTCATGTTAGAACTTTCCAGTATCAACCAAATGTATTTTAAGTATTAAAAAGATTATTTACAATGTTCCCCAGAAAAAACTAAAAACCTTATCTTTAGTCTTAAACACAGTATACCTGTTAGTGTGTAACAGGCAGTGTCATCCTTCAACATTTAAAGGTATTTCTCAGAAGGGTACATTTATTCACAGTCCATAATCCATCCCAATCATACAAATGACACTATGTAGGAGGACGTCAGTCTGAAAACACAGTTATCAAACTCGTCCTGTGTAAAAACACTCAAATGCTTTCAAGCTCAAGTCTGCATCTGGAAACTACACAAAGGTATCATGCCATTCCTCGGGTGCAGAAATTTCAGTATGAAATAATGCTTGAAGTAGGTGGTGTCGGGGACGCTGCCAGCCCAGTCATATGCAAATTTCCTGAAGAATTTGATCTCCTCATATGAGGGAGAAGATAAGGGTCATTAGCCAGCTGGTGGACATCAAATCTATCCTCTTTTCGGTATGCTAAACAGCGTCTGATAAAGGCCTAGAAAAGCAACATGAAAAGTTACAATACCATTCTCCACATAATTACGTCTGCTCAGAAGTGAGTGTGTGTGTCCTCCTGGATAAACCAGCTTCTGAACAAATCCTTGTTCTTATGTAATTCAACTCAAATGAGAGTGTAACACTTTACTACCGAGTCCAAGGATAAAATGTAATGCCACAGCAGAAAAAAAATAAATCAGCAAATTAATTGGCTTCAAATAATCACACTTCAAATATGTATTTCCACATTTAGGAACTATATGTACAAGTAAAACGTTAGCATCACACACAATTAGAATTCTGCATGTGCTACCCCTGAACAGTTTAGTAAAAACCAGAAGGCAAATGTCAGAGGATTGAGAAAGTAGAAAGGAGCCCTAGAAGGAGCTTCTAAAACCGTTCAGCTGCACAGTAGATGAAGAGTAGATGGAAGATGCAGGGACAGGATTCCAACGCTTTGGTTGACCTTTGAAAGCTGGTGTTACCACATGTGCCAATGATGGAACAGAGCAAGATGTGAAATTTGACAACAGTAGTTGCCACGTTCAATAGGCATTCAATAACTAACAGACTATTTAAGAAACCACTGCCTGGCTGGAACTCCTTCCCTAGAAAAAAACTCAATCCCATCTGCTTAAAAATACTAATAAATTGAAAAAATTCTGTACCTAGCTTCAGGTCTGTTGTTGAGACACTGTGTTACCCTGTGTG